GGAGACAGGACGTGAAGGCCTGGACAGAGGGGACACAGAGACCACGGGAGACAGGACGTGAAGGCATGGACTGGGGAGGCCAAGTGTGAGGTGCAGCAGGTGAAGGCAGAGGCTCTGATGGTGAAGACAGCAGCCCCGAGCCCAAGAATGTCTGCAGTACCAGAAGTGAGGTATCCTCTTCAGAGCCCCTGGAGGGACTGTAGTCCTGTGGACACTGAGATTCCAGACTGCGGCCTCCAAGACCTGCCTGTGTGTTTACAATGTCAGGTTCCAGGCTTGTGGGGTTTTGCTATGACTACCCCAAGAGACAGCCTTATGGAGGTGACATGAGATCAGGTATCACTACTTTTTTTTTTTTAACATGTGTATCTCATTTTAAACATCACGTATAAAATCACCACCCCAGTTTCTGTCTAGGAAGGGACAGCACAGTTCCCTTCTGAACCCCATCTATTTCTTTAATTAGTGAAAACAGAAAAAAGGAACTGAGCGAGACCAGAGCTCTCTGCACCTGGGGTGGGGGTTCGCAGTCCTACTGCTGCTAACAAGGCGCTCTCCCCAACCCCATGGGCTCAAGGACACACTCTCAGTCTGCACCCCACCTCCACCCTCCCACCCTTCCTCCTGCCCTCTCTCTCCTGCTCTGCCCCTGCTGGGTCCTCAGCTCCTCCCTCACAGCCCCCTAAGCCTTCCCAGTCCAGACCCTCCTTAAGCCCCAGTCTCTGTCCCATGTCCCCTCTGGGGTCTCCAGCACATGTAGTCCCACCCAGGCTGAGACTGGACTGCAGTTCAGAGCTGTCCTCAACAGTCCTCTCCTCCCTTGGATCCATGACAATCTCCAAGCTCATCACCAACCAGCCAGCATGGCCACCACTGTCTCTGGCTATGCAGCACCCTCAAACCTGGGTGGCCCCGCCTGGACACACCATCTGTGGCCTGATGGAGACCACTCTTCACCCACCTGCTCCTGCCGTGCCTTGCCTGGGGACAGACAGAGCTCTGTCACAGCCCACATGAGCCCCTCTCCCTCCAGCACATGGCCTGTGCACCTGCCCTCCTCGGTTCTGCAGCACTGGAAGGAACCTTACCCTCAGCACACCTGACACTCTTCCCCCTGAGCCCTGGCAGCTTGACTGGCACAAAATCGGGAACACTGGATTCCTGCGACAGATGCTAGGTCTACTCACATCATTTTCTGGCTTTTATACCCCACGCCACATACCACAGTGCCAGTTCCTTATCACTTAATTGTCCTCACCTTTGGTGTTCCAAACAGCTATTTTCAAAAGCTGGGCATCTGTATTTGAAGAAAGCATTTGTATGTATGAATGAGAGTGTACGTGTGCGCGTGTGCACGAGTCCATGTTCCAGTGAGTGTGCGTGTGCACAGAAACGCTCAAGTATCTGCAGACACTAGAAGACAACACGCTAGAAACTGCTGTGGTGAGGTATTGTCAAGTTCAACTCACGGTGATCCTGTGAGCAACAGACCTGGACCCTGTCGTATCCTGTGCCGTCTTCACAACCTCTGACACACTTGAGCCCACTGTCGCGGTCACTGTGTCAACCCGCCTGGTTCCGGGGCTTCCTCTCCTTTGCTGACCCTCTGCCTTTCCAAGCATAATGTCCCTCTGGAAGGAAACAGCCTCTCCTAGCAACATGCCCCCAAAACGTGGGACGAAGCTTCATTGTCTTTGCCTCCAAGGAGCACTCTGGCTGCACCTTCTCCAAGATACATCTGTTCTTTTGACGGTTCATGCATTCTCAAACACCCCAACTCATAGGCATCGATTCTTCCTCTGTCATCCTTAGTCACCATTCAGTTCTCAGATACACATCGAATGATTGAGAGCACCATGGCCTGAACCAGATGTCCCCTTGAGTCTTCAAACGGACATCATTGCTCCTCAGTAATTTGGGCAGCCTGCAGACTTTCCTGGTGCGACACATCTGATCTCCTGAGTGCTGGTATGAAGGGAGTGGGCTGTGGATCTAAGTGAGATGAAATCTTCGACAGCTTCTACCTTTTCTCCATCTATCATGACATCTGTTGCCTCCTGGCTCACAGGTGAGGGCACTGAGATGCGATCCACACTGATGATGTTATCCACACTGAAGGCTGTCATCTGTGACCTGCACCAAGTGCTTCGGGTCCTCTTCACTTCAGCAAGCAACGTTGTGTCACCTGCATACAGCACACTGGTGGTGAGTCTTCCTCTGATCCTGATACCACGGTATTCTTTATCACAGAGTCCAGCCTCTGGAATGATGGGCTCTGCATACAGATTCTATGTCCTCAATGCTTTCTTAAGACATTTAGAAAGGCCCTGAACAAACAACTTCTCTAGAGAACAGTCACACGAGAGACATGGTACCTGGTTGAGAGGTGAAGACGAAGTGCTGCAGGTATGCGGGCTGGGTGCTGGGCTCCTCGCCGAGGCAGTGGCCTCGTGGCTGCTGGCCAGGGAAGCACCCTCTGGGGCCACTCTTCTTCCTCTCAGGTCCCCTGGGGGCCGAGTCCCCACACTGATACCGCATCAACAGTGGACTCAACACACACCTGGATTCTGCCGAGTGAAAATGTGCCCACAGTTTCATCACATCACATATGCTTCTAATACGTGTTATGTCCTAAAAGAAATCTACCTTAAGCTTATTAAATAAGAAAACCATGATGGCGCAGTTTAGCTCTATGTAAAATACATTTCTGCTGTAGATAAACACCAGGAGGAAAGAGGACCGAAATTTAATAGTAGAGAGACAGCACAGGCACAGGAAGCCTCAGGCGAAGTGGACAAGGAGATGGAACCACGGGTCATTTCATTCTGTAGATACAGCATCCACTTCTCACCCGCCTCAATAGACAGACTGACTGCTGTGTGGGGACCAGAGGATGTGGGCCAGAGACAGGGAGCTTTCCAGAGTCAACATAACGGTAAGTGAAGGCTCCAGGGAAAGGTGGTGAAAACTGGAGTCCTTAATGACGTTCACCCCAAAGAAAAGCATCCCCTCCACTGGAGAGTGCAGAATGCAAAGCCGCACGTGTGTCAGACACACAGGTGCTCTAGGTTGTCCTCAGGACCCACCACCTATACAGAATGGACAGGTGGCTGGCGTTTCTCAGAACTCACACACGTCTTAGATGAGTTGGCCTAAGTGTTCCTCAGAACTTCAACTCTGGCTACAATTACCCTTGACAGTTCACCACATCAATCTCTGAACCTTACTGCTATGAGACAAGAGCCCAAAGCCTCAGTCCTTGTGGATGCTGGGGTAAAGCGCCCCTTCAGGCCATGCACTCTGACCTCAGCATGGCCACAGAGAGGGCCAAGAGGGGGAACTAGTCAGGGACAGCCGCACCTAAGCAGTCCAGCACTCACAGCGGCCGGCAGGGCCTAAGGCTGAAGGATGCGAGTCACAGCGAGGTGTCGGCTGGCCGTGCATCTCATGGAGGCGAGCTCCACTGCTCAGTCTTCCCTGCTGTGGGATCCTGGTGCACAGTGCCAGTGCCGTGGAAGGGCTGCCCCAGCAGAGCTGCCCGGCACAGCTGCCCACAGGGTCCCAGAAGCTGCCAGCTCTATGGGCATGGTCTGCCTCATCTCTCCCAAAAAGAGGCTGGTAGGTTGCAACAATGACCCCTTCGGTTAGCAGCTGACCACTTTAAGCATTGTGCCAATGGGGTCTTTTCACACTGCACTTTTCAGAGTGACCACAAGTGCACGCGCGCTAGACAATGGCAGTCAGGGTTCTCGGGGGCAGAGGAAGAAGCAGGAACAAAGCAGGGAGCGAAGACAAAGAAACCTCGTGGAGCTGGTCAGGCCCGGCGCAGCACAGCCAGGCTCACTCTCACACGGTCGCAGAGGGACAGGCACAGCACAGCCAGAGGGAGCATACTGGCACGTTACGTCTGTGTGCCGCCACGCTGGTCCTAACTCAGAGTTCCCACAGGAAAAGGAGAGGCCCCCCGGCATCGGGTGTGCTCGGCCGCGATCTTCACGAGTGTGTGTGGTGCAGAAGCTGGGGCGTCCACACTGCCCAGCTGACCGAGCGCCTCCGCACCCTGCCAGTGTCTGGACATCTGCTGCTTGGCTCTGTCCACTGAGAGGATGGTGCCACCTAGCAGTATGAAGCATCCCCAGTATAAAGTGTCCAGATCTTGAGTTCTAACAGTAACCTCACTAACAAGAAGCAGTTCAGGGCCGTGGCAGCTCAGGGCTGAGGCAAGACAGTGCTTGGAAGGAAGACCGAGTTCAGAAAACACAGGCCAGGGAGTCAGCCAGAGGGACACAGAGCCACTGACAGATCTCCCAGGGCCAGGCTGCAGTGACCTGAGGGACACAGCCACCTGACAGA